GTAAAATCCGCTCTTCCTGGACCTGGCAGCAGAGAGATTGGGGGAAAAGTCCCAATGTCCAGCAGGTATTTAGAACAGAAGGGCCGGCACTGTCTCATTTCCCAGCCCACAGAGACTCCCCTAATTGAAACACCTGCATTTAAATGCCCAGTTGGTTACCGATCAGCTTGAACTAGAGTTCAAAAGCATAAGGCCCTGCCTTTATCTACAGGGAACGTGGTAACTGTCTCACACTGAAAAGTACACGCCTGCCCTCATGTCTGAAAGGCTCATACCCTCAGGAACTCTGCATGGAGAAGGTTCTTGAGCACTTGATTGAACCGTTTCTTTTGTGCATTCTCTTCCAAGACCTTTTCCAGAAAGATGCGTATATCGTTAATCTGAGTGTTCGCTGGCAGAAGGTTGATGGCCTGGGGACGGGAAGAGAGAAGGGAATAGGGTGAGGCAGGACACAAGTGAGACTGAGGAAATGCCTGACGTCACGGAGCCCCTCAAACCCCAGTCCCTCCTCTGGCCCCTCTTCTCATTCCATGCTGTCCACACGTGCCCTCCGTCTCCCCGAGAAGAACTCCTGACCTTGGTGGTATCCAGTTTGCCGTGGTGCAGCTCGAGGACCTGCAGGGCGGCTTGGAGGTTGGCTTGTGGCTCCAGCAGTTCCAGCTTGATTGGCCCCAGGCAGTGAACGCTGGGTGGGGACAGGTACATCCGGAGCAGGGACAGATACACCTGTCTCATACACAACAAGCCACGCATGTCAGGCTGGCAGCAACCCTCCCAGAACCCCCAGTGTGACCACACCTAAAGGCAAGAGGGTTGGTCTATAGGAACAGCTGTCACGGAGCATTTAAAACTCATCATTTTTCACCTTTTAAAAAATTTTCTAAAGTCAGTCAACTGAAGATGTCAAAAATTAAAGATTGTGTTCTCCCTGAGAGAAAAAACATCAAATGCCTTTTATTTGTTTTGCATTACACTGTTAAATTAACAAAACGACTCAAAGAGATCCCTCATTTCCTTTGGCTTTGAAGGCTGAGACCCTGCCACGTATTAGCAGGTGAGGATTACCCAAGATGAGATGCTGCATCTCCTACTGGTACCCATACCACAGAGTTTCTCAGCCTCAGCACTCAATATTCTGGGCCGAATAATTCTTTGCTGGGTCTGTGCTGTGCACTGTTCAATAGCAACTCTGCCCTCTACCTCCTAGATTCCAGTAGCACCCCTACCCCCAGTCATGGCCACCAAAAATGTCTTTGTACACTGACAGATCCATGTGCAATCTAGACAGAGCACACGTGTGCACCTTACCAGAACCATCAGATGTTCCTTCTCAACAGGTTGACCACATAAATTTATTACACAAGTCGGGATTCTTTCGAGAGTAAAGGGGCAGGGGTGCTACGAATAATCACACGGACGACGACAGGTGTAAGCCAGAACCATCCCAAGCAAACCAGGATCATGGTCACGCTGCCTCTACCTCAAAACGCACGTGCAAAACCAATCAGCACATTGACCCATGACCTGTCTTATCTTAGCAATTCATACCAGGGTCACCTGTGGCCAAACCAGAGGGGTTAGCTATGCTAAGAGGGACAGTGCAATGCACCCATGCTCCCTGGGGCCAGGGTCACTACTTACATCTTTGTTGCCATCTTTATTTTGGTCATAATGCTTGTGGCAGTACCTGCAAGGGAGAAAGTGGTCAGACAAGGCCACGTCTAGAGACAGCGCATCGATGCTGCCTGTGTGAGCAGCCTAACGACAACAAAATCGGAAGCCAGCACACGAGGTGATTCTCGCTC